GGAGACACTGGATGTAGGGAGGCAAATCAGAAAGCTACTGCAGTAAGTGACACAGGAAGTGATAGAATTTAGAAATAAGACCACTGCAGTCCCAGGGCAGGGTGAGGAGGAAGCTATTTGTATAGCGTTCAAATGACAAATCTCCTTCTTGAAAAAGGTTTGGACACACAGGACACTAACCAGAGTAGGAGAGTCCAGCGATCTCTATGAAGAGGTCTTCCTCAGAAAAGCTTTCGGGGAGCATGAGGAAAGCGGCAGTCACAGCGCTCTTCAGATTTTTATCAAGTGCTGACCTAAGGATGACGTTTTCATTCATTGCGATAATTTTCACCTGGAAAAGGCAAACATTCAGAAGAAAAATTTTAGAAGAGGAGTATTGCTCAAGCCACAGGTTGACACATATAGCTGGAACCATCCCAGATGCCGACCACTGAGGATCTTGGAATATTAGTTTGGTTGACATGAAATGATTACTATTATAATAAGTAATCCCAGAATCTCCTCTTATGCCAAAATCAGAGAAATCTATCACATAGGAAGGGATCAGAATGCCAAAGAAAACAAAATTAATATTCTTTTTAAATGAGCAAACTCACCACAGGCTTTGAAAAAGAATAAACATCCTTTGGGAATATCAATATTTTTATTTTTTCATCTCAGTTTTTAAATTTTCTAGTGAGAGAAGGTATTTTCTTTACTCAGAACTCACCTCTCTTCTTGCCCACAAATAACCTAGGTAGTTCATGCTTTATGATTTTTAGATACACAGATTTGAAACTTGGTGAAGGAAAGTGGAAAGAAAATTAGCTACAATTGAAAGATCGTGGGTTTTAAATATAGATCTGGGCTCAAATCCATGTACTTACAAACTGTGTGAGTTTGGGCAAATGACCTAACTTCTCAGAACTTAAGTCATCATCTATAAAATAGGGATAACAGATTTGTATCAAGGAATTGTCAAAGATTTAAAACAACAATAAATGTAAATGTTTGAGTTCGTGCTTTGCTCAATACAAAGCATTATTCTCCTAAATATATGTCAGAAGCAGTTGTCTTTGACTGTCTAAAATCCATGTCAGAAGTAGCTGTCTTTGACTGTCTCCAAATCCATTAAATACATTAGAGCTCCAGTCTGTTCTCAGAGTCTCGGTTTTTAAAAACAGTAAGGTAGGGCTGGGGATGTAGCTCAGTGGTACAGTGCTTGCTTTGCATGTGTAAGGCCCTGGGTTCCATCCCCAATTACTTACACACACACACAGACACATACACACAGACACATACACACACACACACACCACACACACACACAAAATGCACTCTAGTTAAGAGAATATGTTCAAGTCTCAGCTCCATCTCCTCCTAGCTGTGGTGATGGGCATTGCTCCTTATCAATAAAATGGGGTTAACAGACCAAATGAGATATGGTACATTATACATTAGCTGAAGTGATCTTCCTTTGGTGTGCTTCTTGGTACACAGGCAATGAATTTCTCTAAGCCAGGGGTTTTCATCTTTGCTAGCATTAATATCATGGGAGAGTTTATTAAAACACATAATAATGGGTCCAAACCCCAAAGCTTCTGATTCAGTTGCCCTGCAGGAAGGTTGAAAATGTATATTTCTAACAAGGTCCTAGAAAATGTTGAGGCTGTTTTGGGTTCAGGGACACCTTTCCCCCTGCCTCTTAAAAATTTTTTTTGGTGATTGAACTCTTGGGTGCCTAATCAATAAGCCACCTCCCCAGTCCCTTTTATTTTGAGACAGGATCTCACTAAGTTGCTGATGCTGGCCTC